AAAAAAAAGATAAGTACAAATACATAAGCTTGAAATAAAAGATTATTATATTTCCTTATCAATCAAGGTACACTGACTTTGACATTTAAAGTTATTAAGACACTGATTTTAATGGTAGATTAAATTCTGATAATACCCTAAATGATGTCCAAACTAGCATTATAAATGCGAAAATAACTCTGTCTTTTCTTCACGCCTAAACTACTGAACCGATTTCTGTGTAATTTGGTGCAGACATAGTTTGGAACTAGATGGATGGTATTCTTAATCATGGACAGCAAGCGCTATCAACGACAAAATTAACTGTTGGCTGTTCGAGTTAGTTGCGCGATTATGAGCTCCAATCGAAGTTTGAAACTAATCGAGTATCCTCGAAATGTTTTCAAGTGTAATTAGCTGTGATTAATTTTATTGTATTCTTTGGTACTTAAACTTTAGAAAAAACAATAATTAAGTGTAAATTTAATTAAGAAATTTTACAGAAAAGAGTCGTGTGATCTGCTTATAATTGCATGAGTAAAATTCTTCATACAAAAATGACCTCATACGCCGCAAAAACACACGAAAGTGTATTGTTTTGCGAAAGGAATTAATCTTAAGCGCAGTAGGTATTCGAATGAAATAGGTCGTACACGTGTTTGCGATACGCGTGAGAGTTTCTAAGGCGTAGTACTGACTGACGCCATTTTTGTACTATGAACGAATGATTGCTTTCAAATGCTTTAGCATAGAGACACATTTCTGTGGCGTCATCATCATCAGCCCATAAGTGCCCACTGCTGAGCAAAGGCCTCTTCTCATACAGAGAAGGTTAGAGCATTAATCACCACGCTTGCTCAATGCGGGTTTGCGATTTCAAACTTATAATTAGAAATTATAAGTCCAGGTTTCCTCACGATGTTTACCGTCACCGTATGTCAATGGTGTCTAAATAATCATACAAAGTACATATAACTCGGAAAAAGTCACATTGGTACTTGCCAGGTTTCGAACCCACATCCTCATGCATGAGAAGTGGACTCCTTAACCTCCGGGCCACCACGACTGTCTTTTGGGCCACTACGACTGTCTGTGGCGTGTCGCGACAGAACAGTTTCATATATTTGATTGCACGAGACGACATGCAGGTCTCTCTGTCTCCGATAGACTTCATGCCACGCCAAACATATTGTAAGTGTTGCTTCACGTCCGTATTTTGTGAGGCCGTGGTATCACTCTGGTCGAGCCGACCCATTCGTGCCGAAGCTTGACTCTTCCACACTTTCATTCTCATTCGCTTAGTAATAAAGAGCGAGCAAATACATACTCAGACTTTAAGTTATTTCTGAGTTGTGATCAATCTTAAAATACTTTCTCTGTTACGGATATAGACCTGAAGATCTCGTGCTTGGGAAACGTAGTCTTTGTCGACACAAGTCCTAATGTCTGGCTGTAGCGGTTTCCGAATAACCCTTATATTTGGGCAGCTCGACTGGAGTGTTACCACGTCCTCACAAAAAACAGGCGTGAAGCGTGAAGCAAGACTTTTCGTTGTGTTTAACCACGTGTTTAACCCTGTGAGTGAAGTAACCGGAGGCCCTATCCTTGCCCGCCCACATTCTCGTTTTTTTATGTAATAGGTCAGCAAACGAGCAGACAGACACCCGCAACAGAAGAGTTACGAGTGCGTTGTCAATAGGGATTAGATATTTGGAGATTTAGGGATAGGGGGTGGGGAAAGACTTTGATCCTCAAATCCCCTATCCTTAAATTGAAAATAATCCACAAGAGGCCGGCAACGTATTTGTAGTAACTCCTTTAGTATTACAAATCTTCTAAGTTCCGGATCTAAATAATTTAGGGCTGATTTTTCAATAGTCAGATAAATGTTATCTGAGGAATAAAATTGTTGCTGTCACTGTCCTATACAAATATTCTGACGCGACAGCATCATTATTTATTCCCCAGGTAACTTTTATCTAACCATTGAAAAATCAGCCTGGAGATTTTTCTTGACAAATTATAGCGCAAAGAGCTTAGCATTTTTGGACATGCAAACTTAACTTGTATAATTTTATAGCTCAATCGATCGAAGATATCTGCTTTGAAATAAAGTTGCAAGATTCCAAGTCACTTGTAAAACTTGTTAAAAATAGGAGTTCATTATCTTTTTTTTCTAAGGTTTTTTACGCAAATAACAACAATCAGATTATAAACCTATATCAAGATTTGCCCCATCGCTAGACTAGGTTAAAAGTAGGCGTCTACGCTATTGTTTTTCTAGCCAATTAAATCTATTGTCCTAACCAGTCTAGCCATTACTCCTACTGTCATGCGTTCATGTAGGTTGGTGTTGATCTCAATTAATTGCTTTAATAAACTTCATACTAAGATTTACTACCTATAAAAGTGTGGGAGAGCCAAGCTTCGGCACGAATGGGTCGGCTCGACCTGACTAATGTCATGGCCTCACAGAAGACCGCCCGACTAAAGCCCCAAAAGGTCGGCAACGCACTCGTAATTACTCCATTTTTACAAGGCTGCATTGATTGCTTACCATCAGGTAATAAATTAGCTCATTCGACGTCCTAAAACATAAAAAATAAGCGCCTCCAAATATGTGCACCCTCACAAAATCGAGGAGTTACATGTCCGTTATCAGACCTTTTTGGGTAATGGATTTGAGGAAAGAAGCTCAATCACGCGGCCAATCAAAACGCCGGATTTCTACTCCGATCAAGCCGACCCATTCGTGCCGAAGCGTCGCTCCGACATTCAAACAAAACAGTATTATAGCTTACTTCCAGAGATTCAGTGTTCAAAATAGAATTGAAATCTTTTCACATTTATTTAATAGCACAATCCTTGAGGAAGGTCATAGCGCAGTAAATTACAACAGAGCGACTTCTACTAATATTATAAGTGTGAAAGTTTTTTCTGACAAAAAACGCCAAAATAACTATTCTGATCTGTATATAATTTGGCATAGAGACAGATTTAAATGCGAAGTAATACAGGTTAATAATCTTTCCGATATTACTGATAATATTCGTCTAATTTGCAAGCAAAACCGCGTACTGTAAGCTAGTTAATGATAAACAAGCGAAAATTCCGGGGAAAATGAAGAAAATGTCTTATGATTCAGTTGGTCAATGTTCGCTGCAATGGTGAGCCGTCTGTCGCTTGGCAGTTTGCTACCGAGCGCGGTCGTAAGCGCGCGCGAAATCCGAACACGGTAAACAAAGAAAGCAACGTTTCGTAAAATAAGGCGGGAAAATTTGACGTTTATATTTTTTTTCTTCATTATCCATCTATGGTTTTTAAGTTTGTTTTGTTGGCAGTATTGTTGTATTCTTTTTTCTAGTGATTTTTTGTAATTTGTGTTTTTTTTTAAATCTTTTGTGCCGAATTTGAGTTTCGCGTTTTGTTATTGTGTGCATCAGTGTTTGGAAAGTTATTTTTAAGGATGGCGTAGTTACGTTTTGATACGAAAACAACGTTGCGTACTTTGTTTTGGATGTGTTTAGATATTTTCGCCTTATCTGTTTACCTTTCTCGGAGTTTTCTCGTGAATAAAACACGATTTTGAATTAGGAATCTTGTCTCTCGAAATTTAAATTAGTTAAAATAACAACGTGTTATATATGAATTTTACAATAAAAACTATTTACAGTTACCCTCATTGTTTGCAAAAAAAGAAAAAATGTGAACAGATAAATAATTTCGTTTCATACGCTTTCTAGACACATATTCTGCATTTCCAAGTTTAAAAAAAAACAAATAGAGGTCATTTAACTCGAAAACCATTACATATACGGTTTTTACTTGTTTTCGTAATTCGAATTATTTTTACACACGAACACGGCAAACGATTATGTGACTTGTGTTTGAAGTAATAAAGTGTGTTATCATTTGTTTTGTAACAGGCCGTGAGGTTAATATGATTCAATAGACAATTTTAATATGTTTTTATTGTACTTTTCACGGCATTTGTGACTGATAATACGACACGTTTAAGGGGTAAGAGTAAAGTTGAAAAATCTTTCATTTCTGTTATATTGATTATGTTTTCGTATTTCGTACGGTACTGTTAGTGCCACTACTAGGCTAAGTCACAAAGAATGAAGCGAAGATAACTTCAGTAGGGCTTTTGAATGGCTCCAGTGTGTGGCTTAATAATCGCTCTAATCATATAAAATGAGTGAAATCATGTGAATGAGTTCTCTTGGACCTCACCTCTCATGATTACACCTGTATAATGTTAATAAACTTGAATTTATACAGTTACGAAAATATTCCATGACCTCCAATTAGTATTATCATATTTTTGAAAATATGTGTAAAAAAGAAAAATTCTGTGTTAAAAAGTAGACTTTGTTTCTATGTGAAATAGTGGCGAATTTGCAATGGCTTTTCATATTACTGTAGCCTCTAACTGTCCTTAATTTTGAAGTAAGCAATAAGTACCTAGCTATGTAACGACTTGTAACGTCATAAAGCAGACGTTCTAAATTTGAAATTTAAATTCAGCGTGGAATTTTAGAATCCGTAATCGGATTTTTAAATTTTGACAGTTAAGTTAATGTCAAATGTCAAAATGTAAATGAGGTTGAATAACTTTTTTTTTGTAATGTGAGTTAAATAATAGTAAGATTGTTATTATTTAATGTCTTTTGAGGTTATAGCAATCTAAGTAAGTTATCAAACTATTAATTGCTTTCTATACTTCAGTCGTTAAACAAGAAAATCTTTACTAGGTCCTTTCTACGTTATATTATTGAAATCAATCAATAAAACTAAGTACGCAATAAGTAATGCCAACATAACAAACTGAAAACAATTGAATGAGGTTTATTAGCATTTGGTATTGAATCTATTTATGCATATACCTACCTAATATATTTGTTAACCATCGCTGTGGTAATAATTATATTAAAATATCTATAATATCTTTCTCTTTCCCCTTTAGTGAATGAAAGTATATTTTACACAAAGACTGACATCTGTAATCTGGATTACAGATAATAAAAAAACTGAAAGTGCAGTGGTCTGGCGTGACGCCAGCGTGGACTAAACACGTTTTAAACACACCCAGTGACAATGTGCTACCCAAACATGTATACCAACATAACGAACTGTGTGCGAAAGTGACACCTGTCAAAATGTCGGAGAAAAGAAGAAAGAAGACCATAAATTTTATTAAAACCATAAGGACTATATAGCGATAGATTTTTTAATTTAATAGACTCTTTTTTTAAAACCAATACTGATCTCATAAAGTGCTCAATTAAATAAAAAACAAATAACAATGATTTCATTGAAGAAATTGTATGGGGACGAGCTGCTGCGGCTTGCTCTTGTCTTAAGCCTATTAAAGGTGGACCCTAACGATTATTTAGAGAGGGAGACCCAACAAATGTTGTCTGGTCTCCATATTTCAAACGGATCCGATTGGTCCTTGGACCAAGAGGCCAGGACCTTAATAAGACCAAGATACGTCCATCCAAAATCCTTAGACAACATACTTATTAATTACGAGAGACAATTATTCGAAGAACTGAACTCTTTAGGACGATATGGTAATCCAGAAACGGAATATAATGAACGGATTTGGAGTAACAGGGCACCGATACTTCATACATATTTAGTTAATAATGTAGCAACTGACGCAGTCGCGCCACCGCTCGCTTCGGCGACGGTTAACGAAAATGCTGAGGATTCAGTTTCGGCGGACGATAATGTTGCTCAAGAAGTTAAAGTAGAAGAAGAAGAAGCCGACGAAGAAGCAGAAGAAAAGAACGATGACGAAACACCAGACGCAGTTGTTACTCTATCCGCAGATTTCCTCCACAATAGAACAGAAGAAGACATTTTCGCTGAAATAGCCTCAAGGTCTTTTGACGTCAACGAGCTACTAGTACAACCATCAGAGATGCAGATCAAAAAAGAAGATGAGGACTATGAAGTCCACGTAAAGAAGGAAGCAGAGGATGACCTGTATAGCGATAACGCTATAGATTTCATGCCCTTCTTTAGCACAAAGACTGAAATGGAATTTGGCGAAACGAATTCAGTGTTACAACAGAATATGGCTGATCTTCAAGAGTTCAGTGATGTTGATGAGGTAAAGGAATTAAAGCATGATCTAGAATATTTAGATGTGAAACAACAACAAGAGAATTTGGAACAGTATTTATTGGAAAATACTCCGTTAGATGCCGAAGTGTATGAGTTAGCACCTATGTTTGAAGAGGAATTGGTTCTGAATGTGAAGAGAGAAAGAGCTAGCACTAGTTTCACGGCTAGCTCCAGCGGTGTTAGTGATATGGATGCTTCGAGCGATGGTGTGGATGTCAAAATGGAACCTGATGAAGGTCACCACACTGGTGACGAGCTGACCCAAGAGGTGAGTTTAGCGAATGTAGTTTTTGTTGCTTTAGATATAAGGCTGATTTTGCGGTTGTTTCTCATGTTTTTTGGTATTATAGGTCTTAGTGTTGAAGGAATAGAGTTGATGGTTATAATTTCAGTCGATTTAAGGTGCAGGGAAAACATAACCTTAAAAAGTTTTGCGATATAATAAGATTTGGGAGTCCGAATGTGTTTTAAATTACGTATACACAAAGAATAAATTATTATTTTTGAACCACGTTTACTAAATCACTTGTAAAACTAATGGCATTATGATTTAAAAGTAAAATAATAATTTATTTAATCTGCGCAATTGAATTTTCATAACCATTGATGCATTTGTTTACGTAGACAACAATCAATGTTTTGTTCGACGGCAATGTACGTCGAATGACGTCACAAGTTCAGAGTACACCTTTAATGAAAGAGGTTACTGATTTTAAAATTATTTAAAACACAATTCTAAATGCAACAAAGTTACACTTTCAGTTGACAGTGGCGCTAGTGTCTTCACGAAAGCGTTTTGTTTTGACAGTTTCTTTATAGAGTATTGTTTAGTTCCAATCTTGACCACCGACTTTGTTAGGTTGGTAGTTTTTTTACGTTGACAGACATATTGTCAGTGATTTTATTTTATTTTCTAATTGCAAAGCGCCATATTTTTTCAACTGTCAAATAAGAATTGAGGTTATCTATGGAGGGAAAATGCTAATTACAATTTTATGTATTGTTGTCAACAATGTTTTAAATATTTGCGAATTGTTTACAGAAATATAATGGTAGTCTTTTTTAAAAAAATGTTGCCCCTAATTAGGATTTTCTTCTGTGTCGTGGGTATGTTTACATACATAACATTTTACATAAATGTGGGGAAACGCTGTTTTTAGAAAAAGTCTTTATAAAAAAGTAAACTAAAAATCAAAAAATAAATTTTCTTTGTAGAAATTAATACATGTTTTCATTTAATTAAATAGAAAATAATATTAATAACCATTGTATAAATGGCGGACCAATCGGTGAACATACAAAAAAAAGAAACAATGAGTCGAACATCCTCCTTTTTTGAATTCGGTAATAAACTTAGATTTCTTAGTTTTTTTGAAGTTTGAGACTTACCTATGTGGATGAATTGGTAGTACCTATTCTACGTCGTATTCAGTGCGTTTTCTAGAAAAAAAAACAGATTCAGTTATGAATTTTTAGCATAATCATACACATCATATCCGCTAGTAACCACTCATAGATAAGTACAGATAAATGTATGTTATCATATTTATCACAAAACCGCAGTATTACGTAAAGTACAGTGTTCGATTCCCACGCTGATGAATTTAGAAATATTGTGTTGTACTGTATTAAGTCTAATCATTTTTCTCCTCAACCCCAATCCTGAGCGGAGCGAGAAGAATATGGTCTTCTCCGTCTTCTTCTCCTGTGAAGCAATGATGCTCGCAAAGAAGGAAGGAGATGGAACGCGTGGGGGAGCTATCCTCCTCACGCCCCAACCGCTGCAGTAGATGACACTCCTGACATCGGGGATCGAGCGATGATCTCCGGCCACCGTAAGCGTGGGCCTGCGGTCGGCGAGTAAGGGTAGCTAGCCGCCCGACCAGAACAAGACCCGAGCGTACGGCGCGTAGCGTTCCGCGCGCGCCTCAAAGAGCCAATAGACCACCACAGACGGGGCCCTACACAGTCGATTTTCAGCCGAGGTTGTGAGGCAAGTTCAGCCTCGGCCTCGAGCAGGAGAAGGAACGGGGGAGTTTTAGTCAGTAAGAGTCTGACACTCGCACTCCCTTACCCTGGAAAAGAGAAGTCATTTGATATTTTCCCTGTCAATCCTGAAAATCGGGAATACCGGAGGCACAATACCTCCATATCCTACCCCAATCCCTAAATCTCTGAAAGACTAATCCCCAAAAGACCAGCAACGCATTCGTAAGTGTTGTGTTCATGGGCGCTTATTGCTTACCATCAGGTAATCCGTCAGCTCGTTTAACGATCTCATCATCTTCCTGCCCTTGTCCCGATTTATTTGCGGTCGGCGCAATATGTTTTTTTCTTCCATTCTGTCCTGTCACCCGTCACGCTATCGCTAACTCCTCTGTCTTCCATATCACTTCTCACACAATCCATCCATATTTTCTTTGGTCTCCCTCTCCCTCTCCATCCATCCACATTTATACTCATGGCTTTTTTTGTAACATGCTTTTCATCCCTCCTTTTCACATGGCCATACCAAGACAACGTTTAACGATCTATCGCATAAAATATGTACTACTCATTATAATATTAATGCATATATCCATAGGCTCTACTTTAAGTGGGTTTAAAACTTAACGTTACACTATAAGTCGAGATTTCGAAGTTCATTGACATACCAGGTCATTGAACTCGCCGTGTCTAACCAACTTAGCTTAAGTTTTTAAAAGGCGTAACTTTTAAATAGTTAGTGTTAAAAATTCAACAGAAATTTTAACGTTATTACTGTTTTGGTAAAGCCTTTTTTTGTGAGGGGAAAATCATCAAATGACTCTTCTACCGCCCAGGGCCGGGCGGGAGGGAGTGTCAGACTCTTACTGACTAAAAACCCCCCGTTCCTTCTCCTGCTCTGGTCCGAGGCCGCGGTGACACATTGCGCTTAGCCTGCGGGGTATTGCTGGAATCAGCTCTATAGGGCCCTTGTAAAGGTCAATCGTCCTTGAACCAGGTTTATGACACACTCTAGGGAGGTGATGTGTGGAAAATTTTCCTCGAAATATGTTTTTAAAAGAAATAAATTAGAATTTGTAATGCGCATTTTAAAGTTAGAACTTAGTTTTAACATATTTAACGTTTTTCTTTGGAAACGTTCGAAAAAACAATACGTTCTAATTCGAATTCGAATTTTAAAACAGTTTATAACGGTAGTCAGCGGCGCGGGCTGCGGCATCACGCGATTAAAATATTCTATATTCGAATTTTAAAACTAGGGATTGTATTTTGGTAGTTATTTCCGGCTTTTGAATAATATTTGCATTAATAGGAGGAACAATCCTTCTTCTCCCCCAATCCCTTTATCCCCAAAAGGTCGGCAACGTTCTCGTAACTTCTCCGTTATTGCAGATGTCCAAAGGCGGCGCTGATTGCTTACCATCAGGTAATACGTCTGCTCGTTTGCCGACCTAACATAAAAAAAAAACTAATAAAAAATAAATGATAATTGACTGGATATCGGCCTTTGTGGGTCTCTGAATTCACCAAAACCCAAGCGAACGCCGGCGTTCGCACAACTATTGTTCTTTTATTGGGTCTTGAATTACCATTCTTGAAAGGTTAAGGCGCACGGTACGCTCAGGTCTAGTCAGCCGGGTAGTTGCAGGGTAAGCGCAATGAGGCACCGCGGCCTCGGCCTAAAGCAGGAGAAGGAACGGGAGAGTTTTTATTCAGTGAGAGTCTGACACTCTCTCTCGCCTTACCCTGGGCGGGAGAAGTCATTTGATGATTTGGAGTTTGTTGCTCGTTCTTCTCCATCGGAATCTACACTTTGGAACGAGCAAATAGCTTCACTAAGAGGACTGTCTGACATACTGACACTTTATATTTTAAAATTTTGTTTGACGTCTAAAAGTGCCTGTAAGGGTCTAATTAATTGAAATAAATGATTTTTGAATTTTGATGATTTTCCCCTCACAAAAAATCACTGTGTCTGGTCGGGCGGCGACACTCGCCGTCCGTACTTCCGTAGACTATTACAATCCAAGCGTTCTCTCGATAATATATTGATATTTATTCTCAGAGACAACGACTTTATTAAAATAGACTACACACGTGTATTGACAACAATGTTGCAACTGCAAACGGAAACAAAATGCTATTGTTAACTTTATTATATTAGGATCAAGATTGAAATTCTAATGGCTTTATCGATAATAGGTATTTTCTGTTCGGAAACATGTGTATTACCTACAATTAAATATGTTTACATGTCCGTCTGTATGCTGCAAAAGTATTTTTTTTTCTTTTGTTTTAAATAAACGTTGCCCCACACTAGGGTTTTCTCCTGTGTCCTGCGTGCGGTTACAAACATACAATTTCACATACACAACACACCCAGACCCGGAACAACAATTTGTGGATCACACAAAGAGTTGTTCCGTGCGGGAATTGAGCCCGCGACGGCAGCCAGTTGCCCAGCCACAGCATCGACCGTGCAGTCAAATCTTGTTGCACTTTAGAGGTTATTTCTAAAATGTTACTTTTATGTGTTACTACTAGCGATTCGCCCCGGCTTTGCACGAGTGCAATCCTAATACTAAATTTCTCCACTATTTAATGGATGTTATTATACATATAAACCTTACTCTTCAATCACTCTGTCTATTAAAAAACCGCATCAAAATCCGTTGCGTAGTTTCAAAGATTTAAGCGTACATAGGGATATAGGGACAGAGAAAGCGACTGTTTACTATGTAGTGATAACATACAATAATATATTATATTGTAAATAAATTTTCTATTTATATATATACACGTGGTTAGCACGCCACTTTCAATTTCTACACGCAACGATTTTGGCAACAATTTAATAAAAAAATAAAGCCATTTATAAACCTATTAAGTCCACTTAACTCTACTTACCTATCTATCTACATAAAAAGTAAGCACATCGTAAAGAAACTACAATAAAATATTTATACTTTAGTGAAAATTTCATCGAAATCAGTTCAGTAGTTTCGGAGTTACAGCTATGTAAATAGACACACGTGTTCGCTGTTTTCGTAAACAAATGCGTTTATAAATTCTGATTTATAATATTACACGACTTATTTAGACGCTTCTGTTAGCAATTGAACGCAACGGTCTTCAAACTACTTTGGCGTTGTGGTTGTGGCTAATTGCTTACCATCAAGTGATCGGTGTACTCGTCGCCTTTATGCCATACTTAGTGGCAACATCAAAGGAATGAGGGTTTTCGATACTTTTTTCTGCCGCCAGGCGGCGCTTCGTATGCGT